TATATATATTTCAAGTTTTATGTTCCCGTGATTTTTGTCAATTTGGCAATACCATGAAATGCTTTTACTCATGTATTATATACCCTTGATTCCATGAGCATTTCGATATAGATGTACATGAGTTCGTCTATTATTCATACATTGGGCTTTAAATTTTGGATGGTTATGCTAACCTAGGCTTTCGAGGGTGTATTTTGCGGAATTTGTCGGAAGCTGCTATTTGGACTCTTTTATTATTGGTTGCTTTTTTTTAGAACTATGGGCAAAGAGAAACCTGGATTCCTTACTCCTAAAGCCATCTCAAACCGCATCAAATCGAAAGGACTTCAGAAACTGCGATGGTACTGTCAAATGTGTCAAAAGCAGTGCCGGGATGAAAATGGGTACAAATGTCACACAAATTCCGAATCTCATCATCGCCAGATGAAAATTTTCATGGAGAATGGTGGAAAATTCATTAGTGGCTTTTCGTCTGAATTTCTCAAGGGCTATCTGGACATTGTGAGGCGTCAATTTGGTGGCAAGCGGGTCCATGCTAACGTCGTTTATCAAGAATACATAAAAGATAAGGAACACATTCACATGAACGCTACTCGTTGGCATTCTCTTACTGGCCTCTGTTTGTGGCTCGGCAAGCAAGGCATTTGTCGTGTTGATGAGACCGAAAAGGGTTGGTATATTGAATACATCGATCAAGACCCCGAAGCGGAGAGTCGAAGGGCTTCTGATGCTCGACTGACTAAAACCGAGGACGAGATAAACCGTCAGTTACTTGGTGAGCTATACTACTTCCTTCACTGTCTTTGTATATTTGCGTTTCCTTGCCAACTTCTGGTTGAGATTTGGTCATTTTCCTTCCTAGTTTTTTTAGAGTTTTTCAAAACTTTTTTACAGCTAAGCAAATCGAGAAAGCTAGTAAATCTCTCACAAATGAAACAAATGCCAAGGAGGTGAAACCCCTCATTCGAGAAGACTGCAATGTACCCATAAAGTTAGATCTGCAGCTTGCTTCAACCAAGTCAAAATCCGAATCTCAAGCTGGCGATGCTGATGTACAGTCAAGTGCGCCAGAAGAGACGCAAAAGCTGGACCAAGTTGTCGAGCCTACCAGCAGTGATCATGTGTCACCAAGCTCCTCCGATCGAGTGTTATCTCCGAAAATCTCTGTAACGGAGAAATTGGAAACCATCGGAAAAGTTCAAAAAATCATTGTGAGTGTGGTACTTTAGTTTATATCATTTTATTTTACCCAGAAGACACTCCCTAGTGGTGTTTTTCGTGTTAATTTTTATCGAATTCTGCACTTAGAATCCCTTGCTGTTGGCGGAGAAGAAGGCGCAAAAAAGCAAAGCTCTTTCGGATGCCGATAAGCTGCACCATCCCTCGGCAACTGGAGGCAAAAGAAGTAATTTAGATGAATTAATGGCTGAAGAGGAAATGTACAAAGAGAAACGTAATCGTAAGGATTATTGGATGACAGTTGGAATCGAAGTTAAATTAACTTATTATAAGCTTCCCAAAGATCTTCTCTATCGACATGCTGTGATTATAGACATGGAGGACGATTACACGGTGAGCTCTTAAAAAACTGTACCATTTCTGGCTCAACTAGTTAGATGGTATCATCATGTATTTATACTACTTTGGGTAAAGGCTCTCGTTCAAGTACTAGGTTCCTCGAAAGCGAAGTTGAAGGTCGATCAAGATCACGTGGAAACAGTTATACCTCCCGTTGGTGATCCCGTTCTCGTTGTGAATGGTGCCTATCGCGGCGAGGTGGCCATTCTTAAACGGGTCGACAAAGAAAGATTTCAGGTGGACATCATCATTGAATCTGTAAGCAGTTCTACTCATCTCTGAATGCATAAATTTGAAGAGTACAAGGATTAATGAAGGTTATTTTTTACCTTCAGGGCCTCTGTCGTGGACGCATGGTGCGGGATGTATCCATGGAAGACGTTTGCAAGGTCTGCGATATCAGCACTAATTGAGTTGTTCTCTTCCACCTCCCTTTGTACATATGTTCTTGCGTTAGAATATAAGTCTTATCGTATTGCCATTTCGTGTGTGATGTCGCTTGTGTTCCTCTTATTCTTCTACCGCTACTAATGCTGTTTGTGGTAAGGATGTGATATAACGCGGGACTGCTACTTCTTCACTGGATGTACTCACTCGGCGGTATTGTTTGTCCAGCACCAGGTGTCACTCTAACGCGAGTAATATGAAAGGCGCATCCATTCCCCACCTAACAATTCATATGTCTGACGGCACTATTGGCTTCACCCCTCTTCCAAACCAAAAATGCTTGCGTCAACATTTCCGGTATTTTTTGTCAGTTTATTATTTTTTTAAAACACATCAAAAAAGTATTCACAAACCTCAATTGTGTCAAATATTTCTAAACATTATCATTCCTTGATCAGGAATCCTTTCGCTGCAGCAACAAGGTGGTGAGGTTAGGTCTCCGGGCGTCGGGTACGTCGTTTTATTCTAGCATTGTTACCTTTTAAAGTTTCAACATGAAAAGGTTTTCTAGCGCACTGATTGTCCCTCAGGTAATCGGTATTTGTTTTGAAGGCAACCTGAAGTATTCGATTGTCTAGGATAAAACCACTGAGAGCTTGAATAGCTTTTAAAGCTTCTTCATAATTTCCCATTGTTACAAAGCCATAGCCTTTGCACTTGCCTGTTACGGGATCAACTACCGTTTTTACGGTGTGAACAGCTCCAAATGGTCCAAACAACTGCCACAACACCGCGTCATCGGCGTCAGTTCCGAGGTTGTGCACAACTATGCACCACCCATTGGTTGTCAAGGCGCCGGCATTAGCAGCGTAGGCAGGTGCTAAGAGAGCTCTCATGGAGATTGACATATCTATGGTGCTTTGAATGTTACCACGCTTCATACACGGGATATGGACTTGTGCCGGTGGCGGTGGCGGCCTATGAATTAGAAAGTTGGTGAGAGGAATCCCGGTAGGAATTTCACCTCTGTGGGGAGGTATTGTATGTCTCATCTTTGCCAGTGGCATTGGGTGCTGAAAGTAGCCCCAAGCTGCTAGTTGACAGAAACCCAACTGTGTTCGTTCCCATGAGGGAATTTGAAAGAGTCTGTTGAAGCTAACGGTCGAAGGAGTGCTGTACTCATTGCCACATACTCCAAAACGTGACATTGGGGGTGGATAAAAAGGAGCTCCCCGTGGATGATCAAGGTTGTAGAACTGTGGCACCTTTACCTGAAATAAACTAGCCGTAGGTGATACATGATTTGCTGTTGGCAAGGCTGTCAAGTCCTCAGTATCACAGGCCTTTGACATTTGTGATTTTGATCCTACCGAGGCGGGTGAAACCTTCTTTCGTCTTCGACAGCCAGATGATGCTACTGTCGAGCGGGAGGAGGGAGACCGATGGCTGTCTGAATGGGAACTGGGTGAGTTTGCAAATTTCACCATCATTGTATCATTTGTATTAGGAAATTTATAACCGTTCAATTTTTTTATGGCACGTTCCGCCTCTGAGCGTCGATCGTAGCGAATAAATGCGATTCCACGGGAAGCCGACGTCCTCTTGTCACACAGGATGCGTGTTGTTATAATACGTCCGCAGGACTTAAAAATATCCTCTAATTCGTTTATTTTTAAAGTTCTTGGTAAACCACAAATGTATAAATTGGCTCCCTTAATGGCATCACAACTTGGACGTGCTATGGACACCTTGATTGTTTTATTCTCCATTTTTAAGCCATTAAATGTATCAATTGCCCTCTTGGCATCAATTGCACTGTAGTACTTGACAAATGCATAGCCCAGACTCTCTCCTGTGGCTTTTTCCCGTACGAGTTTACAATTTTCTATTTCTCCAATACCGGCGAACAGAGATCTAACCTCTTCCTGTGATGTATTCGGTGGCAGGTAGTTAACAATGAGGTTAGTCTTGTTCTCCACTTCTGACATTGAGGTATATGCGCGATGCTTGGAAATTTGATTATCTTCAGCCGTGTAGTCGTTAATTGATTCTAGACTTGACGATTTAACTGAATCATACGAGGGCAATTTAATATCGTAGATACTTTCTCCTGGTAGAAGTTCTCTTCCATCACCGGCAGCTCGTAACTGTGAGTAGGAAGACCAAGGACGGGTGGAGGATCGCTGCGAACTGTCACAGACGTCCATTAGGATCGGATCTCGTTCACCAGATAATTTGTTTGGCACCCTATGCATTGACTTGGTCGTTGCAGCTAGCATTCCTTATGCTTCGTTGACCTCCTTTTACCAGAACCGGCGCGATTTTTGTCTTTGCATGTGTAAAAGCGCAGCTACTTGTCTTATCGATTTTCTTCTTTTAAAATAGAAGTCAGCTGTAGGCAAGGTCATTGTATCGTTGATGGATTCTGCAAAGTTTATTTTTGCCAATATTGTGGTGTCGAATTTGATCAGACAAGGAATTTATTACTTTGTACGTGATGACATAATCGATTCGTACGAGTCCTCCATCAAGGTGGAGACCCACATTTTAGAGCCTGTGAAACCAACACCACCACCTCAACCTTCTTGGTTTTTGCCCTATATTCTCGGTTTACAGATGAGTGTTTTATACCTTTTTGTTCAAACACTCAGGAAGCATGAATTACCTAGTGGAAGAATCCGCAACATTCTAATCGCTCTAATTGGCTCGGATGTGTTGTTCAATTTGATGGATGTACTACAATTTGCACTGTACTCCAACTACGGCGTCGATCTGGTTGGGTTTCTTTCAAGGAGGCATTATGGAACTGTATCTTACCTAATGGATGTGCTGCAGCATTTGAGTGTGGGTCTTCATCTTTTCCTTTGTGCAGATGTCTCCAATATGACACCTAATGCATTGAATTCGGCATCTGGCATTAGTCTAGTCCTTAGCCTGGTTGCAAATGCCTTTCTTGCCCCAACAACTTTCGAACAGCCATGTGAGTCGCATCAGTTGGAAAGATTCGCTGCTTATAGAACTCGTACTATTGACATAAACTACGCACAGCGATTAAGCTCCCTTCATCTTTTACCGTGCATTGGCCTCACATTAGTATTTATCCATCAGCGAAAGCAAAGGATCTCGCAGATGGAGGCGCGTGAAAAGTTGCCTAATGAGAAGGGCGATGGAGAGGCGTGTGTTATCGATATGCGAAATTTCACCCTGCGCTCTATGATTTGTCATTACGTTATCAGCATATTTTGCTGTTTCATCACATTTGGAATCAAAGCAAAACATGAAAAGTTAACTGAAATTATCAACCAATTTGATACCCCTGAAAATACTTTGAGGAAGTTTAGTTATCTACAGCAGGCCACCAACACCGTTTGTCTTTTGGCTTGCCTAAAACTGGAAAGACACGACGTGGATGCATCAGTAGTGGAGGAACTCGAGTCTGAATTCCAGCGGCCACCCTCCTATCCTGTCGACGGATTCGAAGATGAATTAGATTGATTTCCTGATTTTTTGGGCTTCATAATGCAGTAAGCAGATAAACAGATTACATCGCAGTTTCCTGTTATCTGCTATCAGTTTATTGGTGCTTGGTAAGGCCACGATGTGGGGATGGCTAGCAGAGCTTATTTGGTCAATGAACCTTATTGTTTTACATATTTCACAATATTTTAATAAGATATTTTAATAAGATAAAACCGAAACTAGGGTTATAATTGTTCAAAGTGCAGAAGGCTGGTAAAGATAGTTGAAAATATGAAAAACAATTTTTTGTTTTAACTAACGCGATGAATTCGTGTGGGAAAGCGCGCTGTAACGAATTTTGACTTTGGCTCCTGCTTTCTAGTTGTGGTTTTGTTCCACTGCTCGGACTGTTGATAATGCTGCTACGCGGTTATATAGTAATACTTAAAAGAGATGGAACCTCTGGTTCCTTTTGCGACTGGCGCGCGGATAAGTGTGTTTTTGGAAGGTATCTCTGCTTTAAAGCTTCCTATAAATAGCGACGAATCCTGTGATGTGCATATTAAACTGGATACGGTTGCGCCTCTTCACTGTAAGCTAGAAAGGATGGAAGATGGACGTGTCTTTGTTGAAAATCTTTCAACGTCTGCTAAAACCGTCTTAAATGGCGTTCCGGTTACCGAGAGAACATTTGTTGCTCACGACAGCCTACTAACTGTAGCGGATCGCAACTTCAGGTTC